AGCCCAGGCCCGCCAAACAACAATGACAGCTGCAACCGAAAAATAGCCAGGCATTCCCAGCTACTTGGGAGGCTGAGGCAGGAGACTTGCTTGAGCCCAGGAGTCGGAGGTTGCTGTGAGCTGTGATGCAATGGCACTCTACCCAGGGGGACAGCTTAAGGCTCTGTCTCAAAAAAAAAGAAAAAGATGAATAAAACCTTCTCTCAAGAAGATAGACTAACATGAAAAAAATGCTTATGGTCCCTAATCATCAGAGAAATGCAAATCAAAACTACCTTGAGATACCACCTAACCCCAGTGAGAATGGCCTACATCACAAAGTTTCAGAACTGCAGATGCTGACATGGATGTGGAGAGAAGGGAACTCTTTTACTACTGGTGGGAATGCAAACTAATAACCTTTTTGGAAGGAAGTTTGGAGAGTCCTCAACTCAAATTAGACCTCCCATTAGATCCTGCAATCCCATTATTGGGCATCTACCCAGAAGGAAAAAAAAAAATCATTTTATCATAGGACATTTGCACTAGACTGTTTATTGCAGCTCAGTTTACAGTCGCCAAATTGAGGAAACAAGCTAAATGCCCACTCCTGCAATCCCATTACTGGGCATCTACCCAGAAGAAGAAAAAGTCATTTTATCATAAGGACATTTGCACTGGACTGTTTATCACAGCTCAATTTATAATTGCCAAATTATGGAAACAACCTAAATGTCCAGCAATCCAGGAATGGATTAACAAGTTGTGGTATATGTATGCCATGTAATACTATTCAGCCATTAAAAAAAATGGAGACTTTACATATTTTGTATTAACTTAGATTGAGGTGGAACACATTCTTCTTAGTAAAGCATCACAAGAATGGAGAAGCAAGAATCCAGTGTACTCAATTCTAATATGAAGGCAGTAGATGAGTTAATATAAGGGGAGCGTAGGGGAATGAGGGAGTGGGGATATATGAGGGGAGTAGGGAGGGAGATGGGAGGCTCATGGTGTTTGGCATACATCTTGGGGGCAGGACACAATTATAAGAGCGACTTATCTAGCAAATACAATCAGTATAACCTAATTCTTTGTACCTTCAATAAAAAAAAAGTGATGAGCAAGAAGGACACCTCCACCTCCAGGCCAGTAGTAGTATAAGAGCTATGGGAGAGGAAAGAGCTAAGGGGTTGCAGGGGAAGAAGCAGCACTGCTCTTAATTAGAAACCAGGTTTCAGTTAGAACAAGTTGGTAGAGTATCTTAGAAATTCAAGTTGGGCATGTAGGAGGTTTGCTGATGGCTGGATATGATTTCCAGGGAGTCCAGTAGGAGAGATTAAGGAATTAGGGGTAAGGGGGCTATTAAAAATGCAGTCATTAGAGGACATGTACAAAGCTGCTTGGGGATATGAGTTCAGAAGTAATGGATGCTCTGGAGCCCATCTGGTGGTAACTGAAGTGAGGATAAAAAGAAAAGCCTAATGGTCTCAAAGCAGATGTTAGGTTGAAGTTATGAGTATTGGTTGGAGGAGAGAAGAGATCTTAGAAGGGGTCCCTCTTTGTTCTGACTATCCCCTCACTTCTGCCAGTGGAAGCAGGAGAGAAGGGAGCAGGCTCCCTTTATCTGAACCCTTGGCTTTCCTTGATTCACATAGATGGGAAGTGGAAGTGGAGTAATCTCTGGCCAGGATACCATGTTCTGCTTGGCGTTAGGCCCACTGTGTTAGTTATCTATTGTCATGTAACAAATTACTCCAAAACCTGGTGACTTGAGCAGCATTTATTATCTCATCTTTTTTGCATATTAAGAATCAAGTCAAGTGCAACTTGCTGAACCCTCTGTCTCTGGGTCTCTCTCAAGAATATAGTCTAGCTGTCAGCAGGGACTCAAATCGTAAAGTTGAACTGGGGAGGTAGCCTCTGCTAAGCTCACTCAAGCAATTGTTGGCATGATTCAGCACCTCACAGTTGTTGGACTGAAGACTTCAGTTCCTTACAAGCTGTTGGCTAGGACCAAGGAAGCTTGGTTCTTTGCCACATGGATCTAGGAGGTAGCTCATAACATGACAGCTGGCTTCATCAGAGCAGGCAGTAAAGTGTCAGCAAGAGTTTAGCAAGACAGAAGTCAGTCTTTTGTAGGATGTCTCAGAATTGACATCCTATCACTTTTGCTTCATTCTTTTTGTTAGAAGCAAGCCACTCAGACCAGTCCACACTCAAGAGGAGGGGACTACACAGGGTGTAAATACCGGGAGTCAGGAATCATTGGAGACCATGTCAGGAAGCTGCCCGTCCATGAACCAGCTGGCTGGCACCAGGCAGGTTTTACTCAGCATGGAGCTAGAGTCAAGTCCTAAATCATAAGGCTTACCACTCAGCTGGGGGAAGGGACAGAGGATAGAGTTTGTGTTGGGAGGACAGCTACAGTATTCACTCTATTTCCCAGTGTCCATGCCTTTTTTCTTCTGAGCCTGACCCTGGTACCCACAACATCAAGTCCAAATTCTTCATTCATCATATGATTCCCTTCATGTCTGACATTAATTTATCTTTCCAGTCTCATCTCTCATCATTTATTCTTGGTCTTAGGTCCCCCTTAACACTCTTAAAAAAATTATTGAGGGCCCCAAGGAGGCCCTCAAAATACTTAATTTATTTTAAAGTAATAATAAACCCATTACTTAACCTAAATAGCATATTTGTGAAAATTTTGATTAAAATGTTTTGAGAATAATGACATTGTTTACATTTTTGCAAACCTTTTAATGTCTGGTTTAATAGAAGACAGCTGGAATCTCATCTCCTTTTACATTCTGTCTGTTGCAATATAGAATTTTGGTTCAAGTATGTGAAGAAAACCTTGCTTTATATAGATATGTAATTAGAAAATGGAGATATGAATATTACCATGTCTGAAAATTATGGATATTCTTTTCTACAAGAGGTAGTTTCTTTTTTTTTTTTTTTGTAGTTCTTGGCTGGGGCTGGGTTTGAACCTGCCACCTCTGGCATATGGGGCAGGTGCCCTACTTTTTTGAGCCACAGGTGCTGCCCAAGAGGTAGCTTCTTAAAGTTTAGTTACAATGTGGAATATGCCATTGGACTGCCTGGCATTTTGAAAAGCTTTTATCCCTTTGAAAAATATTGGTTCTCTGAGTTAATTTGGGTCTTCCAAATATTGACCCACTTCATTATAAAATATTTTGAATTTTCTACCTATATCATCAGAAAAGTCTTTACGTATTGGGAAGCTACCAATGATGGAAGATTCAAAATTCTGATTTTTCACTTAAATGCTCGAATTTTATGATTGAGCAATTCCATCAGTTGTTCTCCTTGAAGTAATAAGTCACTCTTTTACAAATTGCCAAGTCTCAATAGGATATTGAATATGCTTCCCATAAAAACGGTCCTCCATGAAAAGATCCTCATGGCTACATCCTGGGTGTCTTTTGGCTTCACTGTCACCCTATATGCTCTCAGTATGCCTCACATTCAGACACCTGGAGAATCTGATTGGACTTACCAGCTGCAGGTGCAAGGCAACCAGGGCATAAGGAACTATTTCTGGCTGCTTACTAAAAAGAGACTTCAGGTCTGGCAGACTCTCAAAGTCCAGAACATACATCATTATCAATTAGTAAGATACATTTTTCAATGCATAGAGATAAATAGAATGATTGTGGTATGAGAAGAAAAAAAAAACCCTCAGATTTCATAATTTGCTTTTACAAAGTATCCATTTGACAATACCTTAAAGACAAAAATAAGCATATCCTAAAGTTTCTAGTGCCACCTTCACTTTGTCTGAGGTATTAGTAATACTCTGAGGCTGCTATGGATCTGTCTATTCCAAAATATTCTTTGATGTGGATTGAGTAGTTACTATGCATTTTCTACCAAGATAAATATAGTTTGTGGCCTTTCACATTAATATTAAAAACTGTCAAAGAAGGTTTCTTTGGTTGACTGTTTTTCATTCTAATGGATGTCTTCCTCCTTCGCAAGGGAGGAATGTCCTCCAAATTATCTGTGAGTATAATCTTACATCTAGTCTTTCTGTTAATAAATAATTAGGAGTCACTAGGCATTGCATTTTGCCAGTTTACAAATTTTAAATGCTTTTTGTTTTAAGGTTGACTGCCTCATTTTGGTAGGGACAGAGAAAGCTAAGAAATTTATTTGGGCCATACTGAGGATGTGAGGATGGTAACTTTTCCTTCTTTGAGGGTCTTGGAATCATTTATAAAAGTACTGCACTTTATTTGAGAACATAACCATGAATGTGTACACATATTTAGAAAGAACATTTGGGGTCTGAGTTCCCACTTTTCATTTATACTATAAGAACATTGCTAAGGGGGCTTAATTGGCTAATGATAAAGAAAACAAAAATAGCATCCTTTATGGAAAATATAACCTGACAAAATTTAAAGTGAAACCCAAATTGAAACATATTGTTTTATGAAACAAATATTTTAACTTTGTCACTTGGATGCCACCAAAATTTTAAAAGAAATCTAGGCTTCCTTTTATCCTTTAATTTTTTCAAAAGCAAGAAATCAGATACTTTGTACATGTTGATTTTGTTGGCTCTTATAGTTGTTTGAGCCATTTCTCATAAGTAAGTTGTAAATATTTTAAAGATTAATTCATGCAAACATTTTATATAGCTCTTCTGAAACCACAGTCCTCAGAGAAATAGATTGTATCAGTTTTTCCGTTGACTTCATGTGTCCCAACAGTGAACACAGCCTTAGAGTTCACAGTACTGCACACTCTCTGCCCTGACAGACAGTACGTGAAGTTTATTCTTTCTTTTCTTAACAGAGACCCCTAATATTCCCTTTACTTTGCCACATTGATGGGTATAGAGCAAAACCTCAAGCCATTCTTGCTAAGTAAATATTATTCATGGTGCAGTACATATGAAAACCTCAGAAAATCAGTTATATATTATATAGGTGTGGATAGCTTTCTAAATCATCTAAAGCCTTGTTTTCTTTCTTTTTTTACAGACCTAACAACCCTAATGAATGCTGCATATTAAGAGAAACCACAAGAAGGTTATATGTTTGGTTGTCTAATATTCTTGGATTTGATATGAACCAACACATAGTCCTTGTTGTCATTGACAGAACCCCAGTCTGTATGTACATTATTCACATTCCTCTCTGTTGTGTTTGGGGAAGACATTTTAGCCTTTTTTAAAGTTACTGATTTAATTTCATATTATTTGGTTGCATGAAATTGCCCTTAACCACTAAGGATTATCAAGATTTTTGCGCAGACTTACACATGTCTAGGATCCTTTTATCAAGGCAGTTATGTTCAGCATTTTCTTGCCTTTACTCCACCATCACCAAACACTCAGTTAAATATAAATTAGCATTTTTAGATGACCACTCAATACTTAAGGATAGAATTTCTTCTTTGTGCCAGAATCCAAGAACTAATTCCTAAATACATAATCTTGGTATATTTAAGATGAAATTAAAATTGTCCTTCAGTTTTGAGGCCATGTGTAAAGTTTAACCATACTGTAAAATATCTATTCCGTATTAGAAATAGTTGACCGCCTATACTTCTCAAAATTCATATTGTTATGTACACAAGCTAAGTTTCTATATGTGAAGTTAGTCTTTTTTTGTGTTACTCCAGAAGAAAGGCAATGATTTATTTTTTCCCAATGCCAATACAATTTGAACCAATCTCTCAAGGTGGACACTTTACATTTTAAAGCTGGACTCAGCAGCAGCCTATGGGAAACCAGACTAAGCATTGACTTTAAATACAGTCTTTAAAATGAACTGTTTCCTTTTGGAACTAGAATTAGAATAGTTAGTATTCATCCACAAACCATTACTATGTGTACATTATTGTTGCTATTGTGATAATAGAGAATTTTATTTATTTTTATGCCAGCTTATATTGTGAGAACACATTTAGTCAGTTTGAGTTTTATCAATCCTGTTATGCTTGTCTTTGGAACATCTTTTGCGTATTCGAGGTTTGTAGTTGAAAAGTTTACTGTAAAAAAAAATGAAAAACAAAAAAATGTATTGTTTTTACAGAATAAATTTATTGGAATGTGTACTGGGAGTAAGATTTGAGGTTGTAAACAACTAAGTTAGTGTAATTTGGCTTCATATATGTAATGTGAGGTATTAATGTTAATTCCTATATTAAAGCAAAAATTGTTAACAGCAAGTTGACAACAGAATCAAGTACAGGTGAGGGTTTTCTTTTTATTTCATTTTTTTAAAATACTCTTTGGGTTTTAGGTTATTTGAAAAACTGGTGCGGGTATTGGGGGGTGACTACATGACCTGCTTGCACATGCACGTTTACCAGCCCAGTGGACCATAGATTTACACATTAATATTATCCATCCATTGGTTTGTATCCATCCCATGTTCTTTTGATTTTCTAACATGAAGAGAAAAATGTAAGCAGATCTAAAAGCCTAGGGCTGTTGATGGTGATGATGGCAGCTAAGGGTATGAAAGCACCGATCCACTTCTCACTCACACTGAGGAAGCAGCTATGTTTGGTTTCTCTCATGTAGCAAATATTTTCTTTAGTATACTCACACAATTCCAAATAGAAAATGTTCATAAAAAGATACCTGGATACCAATCCAGTTCTTTTTTTCTTAAAAGGTACTTTCCAATTTTAATTTATTTTAAAATTAATGAAGTTTTATTTATCCTAAGTCCTCTTCATTGCTTACACTAAAACATGAGGAGAATATAGATGACGTTTTGAATTGGAACATATAACTGAGAGATTTTCTTAAAAAGCCATTTTGTATGTATATATAAATTTTTTGAAGTTAATAAAATTATCTTCATAAAGGCCAAAAATAATTTTATTAAAAATATATACAGAAATACAATAAAAATATTTCCAGCCACCAATAAAACAAGTGTTCATTAAGGGCAAACATAAAATTATCTTTAGCTATTTAAATTCACACAAAAAATTAGTAAAACCAATTTTTAAACAGCAGCAAATAAGTCACTTTCCTAAAAATGAAAACATTTTCAAACAGTGTTTTAAAATACTCTGATGACTTGCCTTTTATATTGAGGTTGATAATGAAGCACATACATCTTACATAGAAGATTTATTTTTCCAACCTATGTTTGCTATTTTGAGTTTTTAATATATATAGACCATATTCATTTTTGAATAGTTTCATTTTCATGCTCACTACTGTAGGCACTAAATTGTAATTTTCATCTACAATTATTTAATATGTCAAACAGAATATTGAGATAGATGTTCAAGTTTGCCCACAAATAATTTCAAATATATTTCTTTAAACAAACTTTCTCAACAACTTCTATTTTCTTTAAAAAAAAAAAAAGAATTATAATACACAATACGGTATAGCTCAAACATATAACGCAGAGTAAGAATTTATGTGTTAAGTATTCATATATGGGAAGAGGATAAAATGGGACAAAATACCAGTACCAGTATGACAAAAGCCACAAATCTAAAAAGGAAGAGCATGAAGTAGTATTTTTATTCCACCTTTTCATCTGCTTTTGTTTTTATGAAGAACTCTGGTTTGTAGATACAACGATAGGCCAAGAGTTGAGGAAGAATTCCATATGCTGTATTTAATGCTAAAAAAAGGGTTTTTGCATCTTCAGGGACTCTGTAGACATAAGCCGTTCTGGCATGAAGAGAAGCACCAATGTGAGAAAACTGAGCCTGTTGGCATTAAAAAAAAAAAAAAAATTGGTAAGCGTGAAATGTGTGATCAGCTGGATGCAGAATAATGAGTGCTGAGTTAATTCAGACCATGTTTCTCCTAACCAGTCTCAACCTGCAGACAGAGTACCTTCAAACAATCCATAGTTTTTTATTACATTTACTCTTTCATTAAATTCAGGGCCATTCTTAATGTAACTATTCAAATAAAGTATACATTCTTTAGCGTGGTTTTGTCATGCTAGTTTTGTTTTTTAAACCATCTAGAGTCCCTTGCCAAACATTAATGGCTTAATCTAACAGAAAAATCTCAATAAAATCTCAGTTTTGCTCTGATTTACATTCTGGAGGTCCTACATAGAGGCTCTGTTGTGACTCACAAATTGTGTCCAGTAAAAATGAAGAAAGTACATGTAAAGTTTAAAATAGCTAATATATTTTTAGCATAACAGACTATTTAAAAAGAAAACACTGGGGGCCTTAGCTTCATTTATCAGTCTTTCATCTACTCCTTAGAACAAGAACTCAAAAGTCTTTTCACTGTAAATTTTTTATTTATTTGTTTATTTGCTTTTTATCCAACTTAAAAATTACTAAGCATTGTTTGTAAGATAAGGCTATTACCAACTTGAGCAGAGGTAGGAATATGTTCTTCTTTATAAAATGGCAAATGTATGTGCAGGCAAACTTTTCACATCAAATTATAATTTAGCTAGAAGTATGACTTGCCAGCATAATCTTAGTTGGCTAAACAGCCTTCCTTTGTACTTACATACTTGTTCAGAACACACATTCAGAATGTGCCTGCTGGTCTTTTTTGATACTTTTCATAAGCATAGAGGAAAACTGTATAAGAAAGGGCAATACAGGCCGCAGCAGGATTAAAAGCTCTGTTGAGAGGATTTCCTCAGGAAGCAGAGATGCATTTTCACATCTTGTCAAAATTCAAGATATACATGATGAAAGGATTGGGAATCTAAATGTAATAAGTAGTAAATTCTTAGTTCATCAGGAACAAAGCGAAGGGACAAAAGACACTGCAATCTAGAGAAGGCACAGAAGTGACAAGAATGAAGAACTAAATTATTTGTTATAAATACATAAGTTATTTAATATTACCTTCCATATGAAATCAAATTATTCTGCTAAGAGACTAATGAGCAAAAGTGTTTCTTACCACTTTATTTTACCCATGACAAGAAAAGGACAAGCTTTTATAAGCAGCATCTCAGTGAATTTTTATCAGCAGCAGATATTTTAATGGGCTGCATTTTTACAAAGTACTGAGGCATACTCTGGTACATTTTTGCTATTCTCTGGACATAAAAATTAAATGAGTGTGCTTTGATCCCAAAGACCCAACATGTAGACTGCAGCGTGGCACTGAGAGAGGGCTGTGCCCTCTGACAGAACTCCCGTGGGCAGCCGCCCAAACCACCCGGAAAACGTGTTCACATCTCTGGGCTCTGAGGGCAAAAGACCTTGCGAGTAAAGGGAATTTGCCAGGCTGCCCTGAGGAGCTGCACTGTGGACATCCTAGGAACTCTGAACAGATTGCCCCCCTCACTGCTTTTCCTTATGGCCAATTTTTAATGATAGTGTTTGTCTAAAAGTATGTCAAATATGTCTTTTCTTCTGAACTAGAGGCCAAATTTGACCCTGTTTTTCAGAAATGGGAGTCTGGTGGCTCTACCTTTATAGATACTTGTAAACATCACAAAACCACCAAATCTGGGGAAATGCCAACCATACTTTAAGAAATAAAAGCAATTGTGCCTACTTGCATAGGGAAGGCTGCATAAAAAGTCACTGATTCCATAGGCTCTTTTCCTGCACTAAGCAGTGCACTTAATACCTCATTTTCATGAACAGCAAAGTCACAGCAACATTTTAAAATGATTCATGTCCTTAGATTAGATTGTAAGCCCACTGGGCAGGTACTGTGTCTAATGTTTTGTGTAGCACCTTCACATTGTTAGAGTTCAATAAACGTTCAACAACAGTGGTCTTGTGACTGTCACAATACAAAAAGGGTCCACAATGCTTAGGCCTATAAGCCTAGCACTTTGGGAGGCTGAGGTGGGAGGATCACTTGAGCTGAGGAGTTCGAGACTGGCCTGAGCAAGAGTGAGACACTGGTCTCCCCAAACATAAAAATTAGCCATGGTTGGTGGCAAGCTCCTATAGTCCCAGCGGCTCAGGAAGCTAAGACGGAAGGATCACTTGAGCCCAGGAGTTTGAGGTTGCTGTGAGCTATGATGATGCCACTGCACTCTAGCCCAGGTAAAAGAGCAAGACTGTCTCAAAAAATAGAAGGGTCTGAAAGTATTTCTCTAGTTTTGTACCTGTTTTATTAGCCTTTTTAACTAAATTATTTAGTAAGAGCAAAGATTACATTCCTAATAAATGTACTGTTCATAGTTCTAATGGGTATACTCATGGTGCCCACGCCTCCAGGCGAGTGGCACTCAGCCACAGTTTCGTCCTAAGGTGTGTGATGTTAAGTGTTCAGGGTTCTGAAGTTTCAGAAGAACCTCAGTCTCACCTGAGAAGGGTTCCCTTCCCCAGTCACACAGCTGATAAGCGACTGCAGAGTATCTCCTGGGTGATATTCCCACCTGCAGGAGGCCTCCCTGTGAAGGACCTGAAGAGCTCAGTCAGTGCTACTGAATTCACATGTGACCCAAGCTAATAGGACCAAGTTACAGAACCCAAAAATATCTCCAAAATTTAATGATGCGAGATTGAATCCCTAATCTTTTTTCTAATACCTGACAGAAGTAATTAGGAGATACACTCTTAAGGTTTTTTTAGAATGGATGGCTGGAATGGAAAATGAGACAATAAAAGTGAAAAAATTTAACTGGTAGATTTTAATGTCTGTCCTTTTATGTTTATAGGATACAGCCTGGAAAGGATGGCTAAAAATTATAATCTTAACTCCAGAAAGAACTGAGTGTTATGTGTCAGTGTTAATATTGTAAGCAAAAACTAGTGTGACCATTGAGACAGTAGCTAGGCTATTTGGCCAATACAGTATGCATTGCTAATCTAGAACTATGTTATCTTTTTTAGGGTTTTCTGAGCAGCACCATATGGTGGTTTAGAACACTGTCTCTGCGACCAGATCGCCAGAGTCAAATCCCATCTCCACCACACACCAGCAGTATGGGCTTGGGCAAGAGTTGTAACCCTCTGGCTTCCTCATCTATAAAAGTGGATAATAATGGAACCTACCTCATACATTGTTGTGAAGGTTTAATGAATTGATATTTGTGATGTGCTTAGACAGTGCCAAGCACTTGGGCTAGTCCTAAACACAGAACTCCACTGAAATGCCTACTCATGATCTGGTGCTCTACTTTGTTGAAAATCTGGCTCTTTGTTTTTAGACACCCTTTTGACCACTTGGCTGTCATGTCTCCACAAAAGGATATGCACCTAAAGATGTTAAAGTCTAATTTTAATACTAAATAAAGATGTTTAGTAATGAATCACATTAGAAACAAATGAGTTAAAATGGGATTTTCATTAGTATCCCAGTTATCCATGCTCTTCCTAAACCTTTACCTTCATGTATTTCTTAAAGGTCTCTATAAAGGAAAAAAACTTAGGAAATCTACTTTAAAGAGTTAACTCTTTTTAACACAATTATTTACACATAAGCCTCTAGACCATGGCCCTGCATAGCAGAGAGTTAGAAAGTATGAGGGCAGCAAAGGGGAATGAATGGGTGTCACGTTTCTGCAATAGAACTGGTCCTGCTTCAATGGCTAGAGAGTCATGGGCTCCCTGCCAAAGCCATGGTGAGCCTGTCCCAAAGCTTTCTTCCATTTTCTTTGCTCTTTTGGTAATTATACACACAGCTTACTTAATTTGTCTACAGATTAATTAATCTGAGCCGTATAAGGCTTTTTTCTATTTGGAAAATGGGAATCTAATATTAATAATAACAACAAAGAGGTATACAACTGTTAATGTGCCTAGCACTGTTTTGAGAAATTACCTCATTTAACTCTCAAAGTAACTCCGAAAAGGGGCTATTACTACCCTCACTTCACAGGAGTAAACTGAGGGTCACTGAGGTGAAGTAAAAAAGATCACTGCACTGATTAGTGAATGACAGGCTCAAATCTGAGCCAGTCTCTGCCTCCAGACCTTTACACTTTTAGCCATTTATTAACTATAGGTGCTCTGATTTTTTTTTCAGTACTGTTCTATCATAGACAATAACAGTTCATAGGAAATGCTAGTACATGGATCTAAGCAGCCCATAATACTTTCCAGTTAGATTTACAGCTTTAATCTTGTGGCACCATTCTGTATGAAAAGATAGTTGTGTTATAAAGAAGCCCCCAAAGGAACTCTTTGGTCTAAAGTGGTTTTATTTTATTTTATAAAATTTTCTTTGACTTTGGGATTAATCTTTTGATTTCTGAGGTGGCAGATTTGGCAGATTCCCTACATGGTCTGAAATCAAGGACCAAATGACTTCTCAATGTTGATCTTATGATATTCTAGAGCTTTTTAAAAGTTGGGATTTTTATTATTAAACTGCATAGACCAGCGGTTCTCAGTATTAAAGGGTTACAGCATTAGGAAGGTTAAGAACCACTGACATAGACTCTTGGGAGTTCACTAATATTTCAATAAAAGCAAGTATCAATAAGTTAGTGGGATCATGAATCCATAAGGCTTCTGAATTAGGAATGGCAGTTTTAGCAAACGAGGGTGCTAATCAAGAGAATGCTTTCTGTGATGAATGTCAGATGCCCAGTAAGAAGACAGTCCTACTCATAAGCAAGTATTAGCTAAGTACCAACTAAATCACGTAACTGTCATTCATTGTTCCAATAGTATGCACTTTGTAGCATGGTTTCTAACTTTGTCTTAGCAAATAGTGACCTTTTGTCACTGCAAATAGGTAGATTTTAAAGTTCAACTAAGATAGAGGAATATCAGACACATAATTCTTGAATTATGCCACTTTTTACCTGCTAGGTCTGGAGAAATGTCCTGATGTTTGGAGAATCTGGTCCTTAAACTTAAGCTCTGAGTCTTTAGACTCACCAGTAAGAGAGGAGCTTCCGGCTACCTTGTTAAACTGAGCAGTGAAGGATTTCTACAAGGCCTGAGGTCTGGCTAAAGCTACCCCTGCTACTGCCAGGTGCTTTGCAGCCCACACTTCCCTTCCCAGAACTGCTCAGCTGCAGTCACAACTGCCCATCTGTAAGCTTGTTCTCATCAACAGGTCAGTCTGGGCTTAGTTTTGCTGCTGTAGGCTTACACACCCATTTCCCCCCAAATACTGACCTTCCTCAGCCTTCTATTAGCCCTGTTCAAATGATTAGGCCTTTGCCTAGGTTTTCCTACCTAGATTCCCTAGTTGCCTCCTGAGATTTGACAAGCTCCAACATCTGTCCTATTCAGACAGCCTCTGAGCTGGTAACACTCAGCATTCCTGCACTGGGGGCTGGTCTGGGCAGCTGAAGGCATGGACAGGCAGAGAAGGCCTGATGGTACAGGCAAAACACACAGGTGAACAGCTGTCAAACGCTGAGCAATCTAACTCTGAAGAAAGGGCTGGTAGGAGTTAGATGAGTGTGAGGCCCTCTGTCGTGGAGTATGCAGAATAAGGCTAGGGGGCCCAAGTCAGAAAAAAAAATGCTGGCTGGGTATGGTGGCTCACACTTGTAATCTTAGCACTCAGGCAGGCCAAAGTGGGTGGATAGCTTGAGCTCACGGGTTCAAGACCAGCCTGAGCAAAAGTGAGACCCCCATCTCTACTAAAAAATAGAAAAACTGAGGCAAGAGGATCACTTGAACCCAAGAGTGGGAGGTAGCTATGAGCTAGAACGTTACAGCACTCTATCTAGGGCAATAGCTTGAAACTCTGTCTCAAAAAAAAGAAAAAGAAAAGCTAAGGCTTACTGTGGCCCTGCTGCACACACCACACCTGAATACTGCCTCATGTTCCCTGGAGAGGCTCAGCTCCACCTGACCCTCAGAGTTCAGCTCAGACATGACTCCCTCCTACCCCACTGAAGGTTCTCCAACTCAGTGCCACATGCAAGCCTTACTTTCTGCTACAGGACTCACTCTGTGCTATAGTTAATGGTTTCCATGGGGTGGGGGAAGATAAAACAGTGGAGATGACTGTGGGCTTTGGAATCAGAATTTCATCCCTGTTCTGCCATTTAGCAATTGCAATCTTAGGAAAGTAACTTGAGATGTTCTGAGCCTCAACTCCTTCATCTTTAAATGGAGATTTCTTTAAGTACTTATAACATAACATTGTGTTCATCATGCTATTCATTCCTTGGAGGCACACAAAAAGACCACATTTACCAGCCTCCCTCACAGCTTGTGCCAGCCCTGGCCCTTAAAAACATCCCACATGATTGTTACAGGAGCAAAACATAAATTTTATTGTGTTAAGCCATTGAGTATTTGTTTCTGCAGCAGAGCACACAGCCCATCCTTACAGGTAAGTAAAATATTAAACCTGGTTTTCCTGGCACAAGGTAAGATAGTGAGAGCTTGGGCTAGTCTAGTGGCAGCAGAGCTGGAAGAAAACTAGTGGATTTTAGAATTACTCTGGAGTTAGAACTAGCCAGGCTCAGTGATAGTCTAGATGGAGAAGGTAAAGGAACAGGAGGTGTAAAAAATTACCTTTTTGGTCCAGTGCAGTGGTTCACGCTTATAATCTCAGCACTCTGGGAGGCTGAGATTGGTGGACCCCTTAAGCTCAGGAGTTTGAGACCAACCTGAGCAAAAGCGAGACTCCATCTCTACTAAAAATAGAAAAACTAGCTGGGTGTTGTGGTAGGCATCTGTAATCCAGCTACTGGCAAGGCTGAGGCAGGAGGATCACTTAGCCCAGGAATTGGAGGTTGCTATGAGCTATGATGCCACAGCACTTGAGCCTGGGCAAAAGAGTGAGGCTCTGTCAAAGAAAAAATGCTACCTTTTTGGCTTGAGCTGCTGGATGTAACTGAACCATTTGCAAACTTAATGAAAAATGTGAGCGAAGTATGGGGAAGATCAAGTCCTATGTTTCACATTAAATCTGAGATGCTAGTGAGGCGTCCAAGTGAAATGACTGGGTTTGGAATTAAGTACAAGAGTCTGGGAGCAGTTTGGGCTGAAGACAGAAACTGGAAGTCACCAGCCTGTAGCTGGTACCAAAAGATAAGTAAAGCCTGAGGAATTAGGTATCTAGAAGTTTGCAAAGCAAGAACAACCAAAGAGGGGGTAAATGTATTCTTCTCTCCAGTCACTCAAGGAAAGGATGGGAACCATTACTTCTGGATGCTGCATCAACTTTGTTGATATTAATATCCAAATTTATAATTAAGAAATACTTCAAAGTGGAAGGATTTAACCCTTAAATATTGTTAACTAGTTTTCAACCCTGTAAATTCTAGTATGTCTTTTAGCCATCATGACTACTCTACCATGAGTAGAACTGACTAACAGGCCTGAGTTTCTTGATGAACCTCATCCTGCTTGAAAAGAGCAAGACAAAGATGTTTTCAAAGATGAATTCATTTGATTTGTCTTTATGTCCAGTAATAAAAAAGGTAAAATTACTTAATTTTCTTCCTTCCTCAAAAGTTCAACTTGTTTTGCCAACTATTACCTTAGGTAAAAGTGTGCATTGTGTCATATGTGATAGATAATTTCATTTTTAGTTCAGTATAGTAAGCTATTTGACTGAAACCTAAGCTGTACCAGGGACTTGGCTAAGTGCCAATGGGGAGGGAACGCGTGATAGCCCTGCTTTTCAGGAATAGAACTATTTTAAAACTTATTTCCCTGGTTCTATAAGCATAGTATAATGGAATTCTAAAATCTTAAATGTAGATAGGCATCTTGAAAATAACAGTTCTCGATCCTTTTTTAGTAGCCATCGTGTTCAGAGGTAAAGGAACAACCCTATAAAATGATAGCATCGCTTGCTGGGTATGTGACCTTCAGCAAATCTTTTAACCTCACTGACCCTCATCTGTATAACTGGTCACTCATCTACTCAATAGTTATTGTGCGATTTAAATGAAGTGTGTTCGCAAAAATGTCTTCTAAGGAACATAACTCAGAGCAAAGATGCTCTTCATACCTGCCACAATGACAAATTAGGAGTAAATTTTCTCAACAGAGGATATTCTCAGTACCTGAGCTAGGCCTCCAGCATGTATCAGTGTTAGGTCAGGCATCCAGGAACACCCAGGAACTGCTAAGCCATACAGCGCAATCACAAAGTAAGGGACAGAATAGAACAGATATGCCAGCATCTGCATTGAAAAGAGAAATGACACCATCAGCAAATTAGCAATTAACCTGGCCTAACTAAAAAGTGCAAAAAACCAACATTTTCATTTTTGAAAATGTTAATTCTTATTTCCTACATGGGACCACATTTTCCCATTTTTAAAAAAAGAAAAAATTAGCTTTAGAAAATTCATAGGCTTTTTAACTACTTGACCTGAATTTTAGGATAGGCAGCAGGATCCCTGAGATAGGGCTCTTGAAGTTGTACATATAATCGGCACAGTTCAGATGGGCAATCCAAAGCAATCTAAGAACAAAAATAAATTCATTATAAAAATACATTCACATCTGGTTCTTAAGTTTGCTGATAAGACTAACTGTACCAGATTTAGTCACAAGCTGCTCTGGTAAATTTAGCAAAAACTATGCATTGTAGAGGTGCATCCAAAAGAAATGAAATATTCTACATATCTACTCTAAAGACATGAAGGAGTGGTTAATCATGGAGCAGGAAATGGAAGCTAGCACTATCTTGGGTACCTTGCTAATACGCAGAGTCTTAAGTATCTAGGTTTGACTAGCCAAAGCACAGCTTGCTTTGGATTACCAGTTTCATTTTTCCTGGAAATAACTAGCCAACTATTCCCTACAGGAAGAAAAGTATATTTCTACACCAAATTTATCTTACTATGCTTGGTAAGATTCAAAAATAGCATCCTCTTTCCGGTGCCTCACAGCATATGGCCTTTGGGGGCAGTAAAGCGTAATGATTGAAAGCAGGGTCCTCTTGTCTGAAGACACCTCCAGTGTCCATGTCAAAAGAGCAGATTTAGTCACAATGGAGTAGACTTTAGGCCACAAGTGGACAACTGTTTCTTGGGCACATTACTAGGCCCCCTCTGAGTCACTTTCCCCTTCAGGCACCATTCCTCATGGTGTTGGCCATAAACACTGCCCACCTAGACAACATATGAAGATGGGCCAGCTGTAAAACTGGTAAAAATAAGCTCCAAAGACAACTAAAACAGCTTCTCACCCTGAATCCAGCCAGCTGCACGGGCCCTTGATACACAGCCCAAGGACCCCAAACAATAAATTGGTTACATCAGCTTATACTTGGCACTTCCCAAGTATTTTGCTACTCCAGTAGGCTTAATATAGCTAGTAATTGTCACTGAAGCCAAATATAATTAACCATGTAATTTTGAGCTTCTCAAATTCATTTCTACTAAGAATAAATCATGAAACTGGGGCGTTGAGAAGGATCACTGATCAGTAAAAATAGAAACAGCAATCATTTATCGAGCACTTTGTGTAAGGAATGCCCTCTACCAAGTGTTTGATGTGCATTATTTAATCTCCAAAACCATACTGTAAGGTAGGTACTATTATTTTACAGAGGAGAAAATGAAGTCTTAAAGAGGTTATGCAATTTTTCTAAAGCCATAGAGCTAGTAAATGGCCAGGTTTCCAACTCCAAAGCCTGTGAGTCTTTTCTTAACCTCTACACTACACTATTAAATTGGTAAAGGAAAAATAGAAAAATGAAATGCCCACATATCCTTAATGTGTTTCAGTCACATTAATATGAAGACTCCAAACCTGGGCATAGTTTACTCAACACTATATTTAGCAGTGAGAAATTCACATGACCCTACATATATGTGAATCGTACCCCTTCCTCACTCCCATCACTCCTAAACCTGAGAACACACGGACATTCTGTGCCACAGTTGTATTAGAGTCTTAGGGTATCATCCCTACCAAAGATAATCACATTCAAGTCACAAAGGAATCAAAAGAAATGAGACTCTGGTGGCTAATTTTTCCGATGCACTCAAATGAGGGAAGAATGATACTTTGACCTGAAGGAGAAAGAATAAGACAGCCCAGGATGTGCTGCCTCTTGGCAGTGGAAGGACAGGTGCATGGCTCCAGACTCTCATGAGAATAGTATGTTAGTTTGCTAAGAAGTCTGATAAAAAACAAAAACTTATTTCTAGGTTTTTCCCATTTGGAAGTATTAACAGTATAATCATGTTATGATATTTTGATCTGTCATGCTTACCAAGCCTCTGAATAGGCAAAATCCAGTTGCGAGGAGGAGACAAGCAACCAACGTTAAATCAAATGGTCTTCTCAGCAAGCTCTTTGCTTGGGCTTCTTGCACAACCTAGAATAGAGTTGTAACTAAATAACAGGCACACAGTGCCAAAGAAGAACACTAAATGCTATAATGAAGGAGAGAGAGAACTTTGAATACGCATAATTCATAAAATAAACCACTGGCCACAGAACTTAGGAAAATCATTTCTTCCCTCAAGTTTTCTCATCTGTGAAATGAAAAGATTGAGCCAGATGATCCTGAAGGGCCTCTAGCTCTATGAATCCGTATTTTTCATGAAATAACATTTTCATGATTTACAAATATAACATACACATTTGAAAAATAAAAACAAACCATAAACCCACCACATCACTATTAAATTGATAAGCTTTTACAGTAATACATTTAAGTAAATATATATACTAACACACCCAACATACACAAATACATACACACATATATCACCTATGTAATCTGTATTTTTCACAAAATTAGGACTTAGTATATAAAGAATTTTGCATTCTTTTGCCCTCAACACCTACCTATAAGCACTTCCCTACATTAAAAATTCTTCTAAAACTAATGCCATGTAGAAGCATCAGTCTTTAGCTAGTCTCCCATTTTTGGACATTTAGGTACTTTTCACCATTATACTTAACATGATAATAAACAACTCTGTACATAAATCTTTGACAGCATCTCATGATGATTTCTATAGGGCCCAAGAGGTAGAATTACTAGATTGAAGCGTCAAATTTGGTAAGGTTGGTAACATTGCCAAATTGCCTCACAGAGCAATTTTACATTTATGTTCCTATCAGCACTGGATGAATGTTTGGCCCTGGCCCTCATGATGTTTTAGCATAAAAATAATAAATAGTTCTATGCACCTTATGACTCAGTTGGTATGTTGATATGGAACCTTCAAAAATAGTGGAGCCAAGAGTAAGGGTAAGGTTACTATTCCTCAGAGGGACTGAAGGGAGCGCCACTTGTCAGTGTGCCAGCCTGAGTTTATATGGCAGATGTCTGAAGGTTTGGAAACGGAGTGTTTGTAAATTTAAATGTCTTTTAGTGAACTTTATTATAAATCTTTTTGTAAAATGAGTAATTATATTCTTACTAATTCATATTTTAATATATATCGATTTTTCTTAAAGGATCTTGCTACATGATCTAATACCTATAAAAGGAAGAAAAACTTAAAGAGAGAAACTAGCTATGAAATGAAGACCTTAACAGAGTACCTCCAGGCCAGGACTGGACTATGAATGGAAGAGAGATGTCTCAGGATGCGTCTTATAGCCAGCCAGTCCCCATGGGCCTGGATCAGACCCTGGGAATCAGACCCTGTGGCTACATGGACTACATTGAACAGCAGTATCTCTCCAGCGTCTTCTTGGGGCAGTAAATACATAGAAAAAGCTTCCCAGGTGCACAAAAGCCAGGCCATTAACAACCCAAACCAAACCAAACACTCTGGACTTCATCCAGCACACCAATTAATGCGTAATCTTTGTTAAGCCAATGTGGCCACTGGCACAGGAAGTTCCCAAAGGTATGGCCTTGCCCATAGAAGCAGACACATTCAGACAGAAACAGACTATAATGGCTACATTAACCAAGATGTGAACTCATGCCACATAATCAAAACGGTCATTCTGATTGAATGCCCCAAATGTTCCAGTCTACAGAGGCATAGTTCAATTCATCGGCCAGTGGATGTGAGTGAGCCCTATGAGTTTGAGAACAGATTACATCAAAACTTAATAAAAATCACCTTTGAGGGATAATTATAAATTTCTGATGGCTGATTATAGATTCTGAAACCAGCCCAGACAGGAAGACAAGTATATGGTATGCTTAAGAAAAAAGCAGGGCAAATTCGTGTTCCATACTTCCCTATTTAAAAGAGAGAAAGAAAGAGAAAGTCAAAAGTTATCTAACACAAGTAACATTTAGGGTATCTCCCCATCCCAAGTCATCTAAAATTTTGTTATGGGCCAGACAGTATTTTTAATGAGGCCAAAAAAAAAGGTTCAATTTAAAACTAATAGATGTGTATTAATACCCATAGCCTATCTATAGTAGTTTCAAGGCATATTTAATATAATATCCTAATTTCCTTCAAGCATAAATAACCTCTTTTCAGCCTCCAAGAGTGTTAATTTCCAAGTACATTTTTGGAGTTTTTATTGTGTGTAAGGAGTTACATATAATACTAAGAGTTGTAAGAAATATTTGTGCACTAAATGTAGCCATAAACACCATCCAAGCCCCCAGATCATTATAAAAGTCAGGAATCTCTGATACTTGACTGTCTAATTGTTCAATTCACACTTCTAAAAATTGTTCTAAAGTTAAGGAGGGAAAAGGAATAAATCTGCAAAACAGATTTTGGTAAGCTTGGAGTCTCTAGGTTCTATTATCACTAAAATAATCTCTGCTTAAAAATAAGCCCTATTGTTTCAGAAACGGAAAATGAATTTTAAGATAAAGTTTCTTACCAACAATGTTTCCTGGCACAAAAACAACAGTGCTCATAATAATAGATCCAACCCAGTATAGGCCAATGGTTCTATAACTTTCTCTGTAACAACAAAAAGCTTGACTTAGTACATTTGTCTGAGAAGACTATAAGCAAAAGATGTCCCTCAGTGTTATTTTTATTCAAACTAGTAAAGTACATGAATCAAGAATGATAAACAAAATAAGCCCTGGTAATCAAACTTCATTTCCATGTGTGATACACTATAGAACCTTTTTTGTGTCCTTTTAAATAGGAGATTATGCTGGCTACACTGATCTTGTTAAATATAACATGATCATCACTGCCAAAGGATTCCTGCATTTCCCTATCATGTACGAAACCCACAGCATGAAAGGGAAGAGTTCAAAGAAGAAAGGAAATTGGATTCATATTTCAAATCATCCTAAGTATGAGTAGTAGGATGATAAAAGGACTTTTCCTGGAGTCACAGAATTGTGGCCAAAGCCCTAAAGGTGAAGGTAATAAGTGACATGTACCCCATGCAATAAAGGGTAGACATACACTCCTAATCTTCACTGTTGAGAAAAAGTTCCTTCAACTGATAACCCCAATACCCCGATCCCATACTTTGTAATAGGATATGAGGAAAATTCAAAAGGAAGATTCTCTGAAGGGAAACAGAAAGGAAGAATACTGTGTGCTTCCTATCTAATTCCAGCCCTCAAACCAAATACAACCAAATCCCAAGAGGACCATTCACAATGACTGGGATTGTCAGCAGGAGGACAGGTAAGAAGTAATTGGCATAGTCCTTGAGTACATCATCGGGGGAGGAGGTGTCAAACTGCAGCTTTGCCCTTTCTGGCCAGGCTCAGTGGCTCAAATCTGTAAACCTAGCACTCTGGAAGGCCAAAGCAGGTTGACTACTTGAGCTCAGGACTTTGAGACCAGCCTGAGCAAGAGCAAGACCCCATCTCTACTAAAAATAGAAAAATTAGCTGAGCATGGTGGTGGGCACCTGTAGTCCCAGCTACTCAGGAGGCTGAGGCAGAAGGATCACATGAGCCCAAGAGTTTGAGGTTGCTGTGAGCTATGACACTACAGCACTCTACCAAGGGTAAGAGAATGAGACTGTCTCAAAGAAAAAAAGCATGACTTTCTCAAACTTGGAAACAAATAGAGGTCTGGGAAAGTAACCGAGCTTGAGACATCTTGGAAGATCCTTCCCCAAAGGGTAGATCTCCTGGGTTACAGGGAGCTCGGCAGTAAGAAACTGTGGCTGTACCACCATGGGCAGGGGAGACCCAGGAATTCAGAGAGAACATCGTGTTGATGTTCAGGGATTGCTGCAATGCAAAGGTTCTGGGGGTAAAGTCTTCAAAGAACCCACCATATGCCTCACAAGATTAAGTTAGCATATTATGATAGAGGGTACCAGCACCCAAAACAGAGCTGCTGTCAGTTTCTTTAATCCTATGCACACAGAGTTGCACTCCCACGGGGCAGGCTGCAGAGGAGGTGAGGAGGGAAAGGACCACACACCCATGTCTCAGAGCTGCCTCAACTGGGGGAAAGACAGAGCTTTGAATTGAAATGAGATTGAAGTTTTGAAACTTTGAAGTTTTGAAATCTTAGTTTGAAGTTTAGACTGTGCCTCACTTTAATTCCTAAAAATGAGACTGTTCTTCTAAGAGCACATGATCAGAAAGCTCAGGTCTACACGAGCTGTTGGGAGCAATCAAGAGGCACATGTTCAAAAGGCCATGGCACGGGGCAGCACCTGCGGCCCCATATGCCAGAGGTGGGGCAGGTTCAATACCAGCCCCAGCCAAAAACTACCAAAAAAAAAAAAAGCCATGGTACAAGGAAACACAAGCTGTGTCTAACTGGAGGCATGGAGCATATATTCACATCAGGGCATACCTGTTTGTGCACCTGCCTCTACCGCCTAACACTTCCTTACATACCCGCTTGTCAGGAGCGAAGGTGGCAAAGATACACAGCTGTGAATGGACTTACTCCCATGCTATGGCTGCCACCATCACCAGGTACATCAGATAATGGGCAGAGCCATCCCAGTAGCAGATCATGTGCCCATGTGCAGTGTTCAGATAGGGTTCACCCTGAGAAAAGCAAGAAAAAGAAGTTCACTTTAAATAAGATTCAAACATTTAAACGCAGAACACCAGACCTGTATTGCAAGTTAAAACAGCACAACTAATTTGTGTTAGTCTGCTAAAATGAAACTACTTCTACAGAGTTATAAAACTGGTAAAATGTGAACATACAACATTACCTGAGCCTGCCTCAGCCCTCTGGCCACAGAGGATGGAATTAATGAGGGACTGACATCAACACGGGTTTGCACTGTGATGTGAGGGCAGGTGGCATGACAGGAATACTGGCTTTGCAGCAAACTCACTGAGGCCAAGCAACATCTGTGACAAGTGGTCCTGAGCTATGACCAGAGGGATGGCCAGAGAAGACCAGGCTCACCAGAGCCACTGGCTGGCCTTAACAGTTCCTGCTGATCCCTCGGCTGGCTGGCCAGGGCATGGGGATAACACTATTCCCCTCATGCAAACACACCTACATGCAGGCTGAACTCAGAGCTTCACACCCAGCCCCTCTATCAACCTTCCCAACAACCCTACAGGACAGATGGGATTGATTCCATTTACAGATGAAGAAACAGAGGCTCCTGGCAATACCACAGCTAAGGTCTCGCAGCTACATTCCTAGCAGAGACAGTACTACCAAGAAAAGCTGTACTTCTCCTGGGAAATTTTTAATTTTAGAACAATAAAATTATATGATGAACTGCATTCCCTATGCAGGTGATTACATTTCTAGGTGGCTACTTGAAAATCACTGTCAACTTTTTGTGGGTCTTTAGCATAGTTCAGGCTCTGCCTAGTCTTCCTTCCTTCTCTCATGTCTGCACTATCCTGCTTCTTTCAGTGTGTCCTGACAGTGCCTTCCATCCTTTCTACAACCAGGAGGAGAACCAACCAGTCCAGCCAGCCCAACAGGTCAGCCACACAGGGCATTCTCTGGAGCTTTGTGCTCCCCAGGGGCAAGGACTGCCGTCATCCCTCTTCACGAATCAAACCTGATTAAAACCACAAAAGAAGAGGAGACAGAACCGAAATCATATTTCTGTACCCATGCCCGGCCCATTGTTTCCTTCTGACACGCTCCAAAGAATAGTTTCAGTCTTCCATGCCTATATACTTGGCTCTCAAAGCAAGTGCTGTCTGCTCCTGGTGGCCTAATAGACATCTAACTGGGTGGTCCACGGGCCTTTTACACTCAACTGAACTCCTTTAATCCATCAGCTTCTCCCCTCAATCCACCTCTACCTGGCCTCTATTGTAGTGGACAAATCACTCAACTCACCCAGGTCAAAACTACCTTGTCCCCATGCAGTCTTTTGGCAAATCCTATCAATTTTATTTCTATAATGTCACCCCAGGCAATATTCCCCCTTGGTCATGGCCTCAGTCAAGCCCTCAGTGTCTCTCACTGGACAGTGCTACCTTGCCGAATGGTCTCTCTCTCTCCCTCCCTTCTCATCTGCCACACACGCACTGCCAGATGAAGGCTCTCAAAGCCTGGCATTCGGCATGTCCTCCTCAAAGCTTGTCACCACCCACTAAACTAAGCCTCATCTTCTGTGCATGGCACCTAGATGCCCAGAGCCTAGGCCTGCAGACTGCGACATCATTGCACCCAGTCCCCCCTACTCCTGCTCTGCCCCAGTGCTTGCCACACTCACCAGCTCAACCTCCAGCTCGACCTCCAGCTGCTTCCCTCCAGAAATATTCCTCGTCTGGGTTTTTTTTCTGCCTCTCTGCCTGACCTCCACAATCCACTCTAGAGGACCCTCCTCCTAGTCTCCAAAGTCCTAGCCTCAGCCCCCTTCCCTCCTTACCTTCCTCCAGGTAAGCAGCCTCTCCTCTAAGACTTTCAGGTACCAACTATACACAGACAGCCCCCAGATCTCTCTGCCAAGATGTCCCTCAAGCACCTGAAACTGTGTTTCCAAATGAATTCAGCATTACCTCGCAGACAGGCACTTCAGGGGAGATGCACTCTCTCTCCTCTCCATGCCTGTGCCCAAGCTGTTGCTTCTCTTTGGAAGGATTCTACCTCCTTGGTCCATCTGGACATGTTTAGCGTCCACTGACATGGCCATTTCTTTTTTTTTTTTTTTTTTTGAGACAGAGCCTCAAGCTGTCCCCCTGGGTAGAGTGCCGTGGCATTACAGCTCACAGCAACCTCCAACTCCTGGGCTCAAGCGAGTCTCTTGCCTCCGCCTCCCAAGTAGCTGGGACCACAGGCGCCCGCCACAACGCCCGGCTATTTTTTGGTTGCAGCCATCATTGTTGTTTGGCGGGTCCGGGCTGGGGATTCGAACCCGCCACCTTAGGTGTATGTGGCTGGCGCCCTAGCCCCTTGAACTATAGGCGCCGAGCCGACATGGCCATTTCTTAAATGCCATAGCATCATCACCAATGCAGTAAGGCCTCCCTGACTGCTCCTGGGGTCAGTTCCTCCTCTGTGTACTTGTGTGCTCAGCGAGTCTCTGTCATCACACCTAGGACAATGCCATCCCCCTGCCACACCAGACAGTGAGCTCCTGGAGGGCAGGATGCAGGTCTTCCGACCCCAGAGGTTGCCTCAACAAATATCTGCAGAACTGAATGCCTCTTCTTATCCCTGTCTGGTATAGTAACACCAGCATTCTTCCAATTTCCAAAGCAGGCCAGGTACATGGTGGCTCATGCCTGTAATCCTAACACTCTGTGAAGCTGAGGGAGAAGGACCCTATGAACTCAGGAGTTCAAGACCAGCCTGACCAAGAGTGAGACCCCGTCTCTACTAAAAATACAAAAAAAATTGCTGGGTATCATGATGTGCCTATAGTTCAGCTACTCAGGAGTCTGAGGCAGTTGGATCCCATGAGCCCAGGAGTTTGAGGTTGCTGTGAGCTAGGCAACAGAAGAAGACTCTAGCCTCAACACTCTAGCCCTGATGACAGAAGGAGACTCTGTCTCGGAAAAAAAAAAAAAAAAGAATATGCTAACAGATGGAGGCACTCTGAAGAGCAACCAAAAAATGGAGTTTCAAAAAGAAAAAACAAAAAACTGAATTTGCCAACTTCCAAAGCAGAAGTCTGGAAGTCATCTTAGGCCTCACCCTCCCCATCACCCCATTATATCCCCAAGTCCTACTCATTCCAGCCACTCAAATCCCCTGAAGCCACACTTCTACTTTCTGTGCCCCTCCTCTGCCCAGCCAATTTTACGCCTGTGCTGGCCCTGCGCAAGCTTCCTGACTTGTCCCCCAGGCTCACAGCATTGGCCCTTCCCTGCAAACCCATCCTTCCCTGATTAAAAATCTTCCCTCACAGACAGGATAAAATCCCAACTCCCCTAGCTGGCATACAAAGCTCCCCAGTATTTGAAACACAGGTGAAGAGTATACTTTGAGCTCTGCTTCTCATTTCCTATGTGACCTTGAGTAAGTCCTTAACCTCTTTGAGGTTGGATTTCACCCTACGCTAAAATAAGAAAACAGAACCAGCTGTTTTGTCACCAGGCAGCTCCTAACGCTGGGGTTTGAGTGGCGAGGTCTGGAGTTTGAGGGTCCAGCATCAGCAGCAATGGCTGCAAGAAATGCCTCAACATTTGCTGTAGCACAAGCTGAAGGCAGCCTGGGCATCCTGAGGCAGCAAGGTATTAAAAGACACACAAATACTAAATGCACCAAAAGTACCTCATATACATTAAGTCCAAATAAAGGAGAGAAATAGATCATGGTTCTTGAGTGGCCAATGAGTCGTAAGAATGGAATATGGACAAGAATCACCCCTGACCTCACCTCGCCTTTCTGTTCTCTTTATGTGTGAATAAGCAACCTAGGTATTATGGGAAAGGTGGTGCCATGTAGCGCCTATTTACACTAACAAGGCTTCTGTCTCTGAGTAACATGGCCAAAGCTGCTGGCTCTTTGGTTTAAGCTTTATAATTACCAAGCAATCCCGTACCTCTCTCAAGTAGTATGTCATGAATCCATCAATGATTCCATCTTGTTCCAGTCCTATGATGAGGTTCACCACACTGGTAAATCCAAAAACTGCAAACACTAGAGCAAAGAAAGCAACTTAAAAAGCAGTAGCTCAGGAGACAACTGCTAAGAGTGTGACATTAGCCTACAATGATGGAATGTTTTTAATGTTTTCCAGAAACATTAAACCTTCTGCACATCCAGCCAGATCTCTGCCTGTTCATGGATCTCCCCATCCCTGCCCAGTGCTCTCATGGAAGGAACCGGAACAGAGAATAACAAAGTCACTCTGTCCTAGGAGATCTGACTGAGCCACACCCACCCATCCTCCACAGCCCTACCATGGCTGCCTAGAGGTGAACCACATCTCACCTGGGCAGTAACCAAGATGCCAAGGAAGCAAAGGAGTGACTTAAGAGAAGGTGATTCATCTCAATGGCTACCAACTAGGTCAACTCACAGGGTGCTGACATGCTCGCCCTGCTCCATGCTGGAGACCCTACAGGCAGACAGGAGGCTGATGTGCAAGTGACAATGGCTTTAAGAAAAAGGGCCATGGACCTTAAAAAATGAGTACAAGATGGTACAACTCAATATCAAAGTAGAGAAGCTGTAGCATCTTAGGGAATCTTACTAGAGTTGTGAGGATCTCCTCAACGGGCTTACAACCACCAGCTACAAACAGCTAAGGAATAATATTTTTTAAACAGCAAGTGAAGAAGGCTAGTGTGTGTCGGTTTGTTAAAGCTATAGTTTCAGGTTGCAATAAATGGGTGTCTCAGACAATGGGATGGCCATGGACAGAAGAAAAACCTGATGGTGAACAGAAGAAAAGGTATGGGGAAAGAAATGGAGAGAAAAGAGAAGGTTAACTCACAGAGAGGGGAAGTGGCCCTAGCTGGAGTCTGCAGCCAGGAGCCTGGCATCCACCTGTCCCAGGAGGAGTGGAGGTCTACCTGTGCCCTGTTGTGCAGACATGCCTTCCCAGGCCTCCACGGAAGCCTGCAGCCCAGTTCTCACTGACAGCATCACTTTCTGACACTCATTTTTTGGAAGCCTCCCAGGCAATTAGCCACATCACGTCTCCACTCTGTGTAATCTACCAGTGATCACTGACACCCACGTGGATATACCCTCCACTTTCTCCTGTACAAGGGGTCTGGCCTGGGGTCTGACCCTGAGGCTATAGTGTGCACACATCCGTGACCAGGACAGAGTACTTGACCTTGAAGAGTCATCAGGACAGTTTCGGTAGACTCTGTGGAGTGGGGAGGAAGGGGAGGGACTGGACAGTACAGGATACTAGTCTGGAAAGGCAAGCAGAGCAAGAGCAAAGGCAAGTGGAGTGGGCCAGAGAAAAGGACACAGGCCTTGAAATCAGATGGGCCCAGCTCATCTACTGAGAGACTGCAAAGTTTCACCTTAGGCAAGTTTCATCATTTCTCTGTGCTTCAATTTTTTTATATGTGGATTAGGAGAAACTAGTTACTCCCTCCCCACCTTACAAGGTCCCTGTAGGCACAGAATCCTCCCTATACTGCTGATGATGGGCTTAGCTTAGTGACACTTCAGCCAGTGGAATGTGGGTGGAAGCAAAGGGAGCAGCCCCAAGCCAAGGCCTTAAGAGACAACACTATTTTCCCCTATTTTTCCCTCTATGCCTTGGTATCTGCCACAAGAAGGGTGTGTCCTGGGAGCTGCAGGGCCTAGAACAGGGACACACACAGACAGGCCTGAATTCAGCCCACAGCCTGATGCAGAGTGGCCCAGCCAACCAACAAAACTGATGGCAAGAAAAATAAATGCTTGTGGCTGTAGGACTTGGGGAGTATTTCCTGTGCAACATCACTGAGGCAGAAATTAAGGAATAACACATCGAGCAAAGTGCTCAGCACAGAAGAGCGCCAAGGCGGCCCAGCTTTGCTTTGGGCAGCATGCCCAAGGAAAGGGCGTGGGCTGTGGAGTCAGCGCTGTTCTCACTGTCCATGGGACCTGACCACGTTTCTCAGCGTCTCTGAGCCAGCTTCCTCATTTTCAAGTGGAGGACTGTGGTGCCACTGACATGCTCAGAGGCATATGAGGCAGAACACGCATGTACAGTGGCAGGCGCTGTTCTAAATGCTTTAGAGGTATCATCTTATTTAATCTTTCACCAGCTCTCCGGGGAAGGTGCTAGTATTTGCCTCTTGATGCACATGAACAAGGGGGCGCCTACTGTACAGTCAAGTTCCACACTAGGCGGAGGGGGCTGCAAGGAGCAGGAAGCCTAGGAAGGGGCGGGTAGGAGAGAGTCAAGGTCAGAGGTTAGAGATGAAAGCATGCTGTGGATCTGGGGGCAAAGAATGGAGGGGTGCCCTGGATTACATGGGGGGTGCTGCCCTGAAGCACCTGCACCTTTAGCCCAAAGCCATATGCCATGTGGACAGTCTGGAGGTGAGGGCTGCGCTGCCCTGAAGCACCTGCACCTTTAGCCCAGAGCATTCCCAGCCCTTCACTGGAGCGGTTAGTAAACAGACACAAATGATTTCCCTTCAGGAAGACATACCATAGAATAGCGGGTCCCGGGGTGGTTTTCTTTTGACAAGGACACGAGCCAGCAGGGCTACCAGGAGCAGGATGAGGGCAGCCACCCCTACAAGTGTCCAGGAACTGCAATAGTCAGAACAGGGAGGTGGTCACCAACAAAATAAACACACTGGTGCCTGGAATTTCCTGCCCACTGAACGTTCTTTCCCACAGCGGCCTAATTCCTACGTAATCTACCCCTGACTGCAGCTAGGGGTAGTTTATCTGCAGCACTTTGGCTCTTCTGGGTCATAGCCCCTGGCTTCCAGGGACCAGAGCCATCAGGCCCTCATTCTCCTCTGATCTTGCCCACCTGCCTCATGTGCATACAGTATGTCTGAGGTTCCTCTCCCCACCACTCCTGCCCCTGAGACGGCTGCTGCCCCACTGCCTCTACCTACTCAAACCTGTAAGCCCCACACCCAGCACTGACAGGCCTGATAGTTGACCTGACACCACTCTCAGGGCAACCTGGAAACCCTCAAGCCAAGTTCTAAGGAACATACAGGCATTACAACCTCACAAGCCTTCCAAGGGGACTAGGAAGAAGGAGCCATATGCCATGTGGACAACAAATGCGCCAGAGAGTGAGGTCTGGAAGAGAAGCACCATGACTGGACCTGAGGCCCAAATGAAGATGCCCAACACCCACACCAAGGGCTAACAGGCCAGCATCCAATCACCAGCACGGAGACAAGGTGAGGCTTGGTTGGGCCCATCCTCTGGACCTTCTCCAGGAAAGCGAATGGCACCAAGAAGACCAGGGGCCTTCCATGGGGCACCCCTGGGATATGAGACTCAGTAGAGCTGGCAGACAGGAGACCTGGATCCTAGTACCCACTCTGCCACTGATTAATGGTGTGACCTTAGAAAGTTCACCTCACTGCATTCATCTGTTTCTTAATTAATTGAAGAATGTACTGAAGATAAATGTATTGCACACCTCCACACAGCAGGCCTCACTGCAAGCCCTAGACTAGAGGAACAAGAGAGGTCCTATCTACATGGAGAGACCAATCTCCAGGGGCTCTGCTGCCACCAGGTCACCTCCAGACCAACAGAGATACTCTACCTTGTACATGTCCAGCATCAAAAGGGCTTCCAATTCTAGACAAAGAACCACCTAGCCCCTCTAATGGGCTGCTATGCCAGGACCTCTTCACAACCCCTTAGGGGTGCCAGAAGCACCAGTCCTTGGCTAGACCCCTCACACCACCACAGCCAAACACTGGGCCTTTTGGAGATAGCCTTAGCTATATGTCACTGGGAGAGAGAAAGAGAAGGGAAGACAGAGCTGGGAGGGCAAAAGTAGATGATGGATGGATGGATGGATGGATGGGTAGATGGATGCTGTATGAATGGATAGATGGATGGATGGATGATACATGGAAGGAAAGATAGATCAGTTCTAGGACAAGAATGAGATGGCGGTGTCAGTGTCCAGGAGAGAAGCTAAACATTGGTTTTGGTGGCTGACGTGAGTGGGGAAGGAAGCTGACGTGGGTGAAGAGCAAGATGCTGAAGCATCTGTGAGGAGGGCAGCAGCTCATGGTGCCAGAGAGCTGACAGATACAGGTAGCGGTCGGGACACAGCCATCACACCTGCGCCTTCCAAGGGCGTAAGCCCCAAACCAGCACACTCCCCAGCAGTGTTTTTCTGGAATAAGAGAGAGCAGTGCAGACTGGTTCACAGTGTCCTCTCACACTCTCTGCCCCAAGGGAGGAGGGAAGAATGAAGTGAAATAGGGCAGCAGATCACCTCTGCCTCTTGGTGTGGTCTCCAGAGATCCTACAACAGCCTAGTACAGCACCTGCTTGAAGCAGGGAGAAACAGTCCTACCTCAGGGTAGGAAGGGCTGAGACTGACCAATGGATCAAAAGGTTGTGAGTCTTGGAGAGGAGACACTCATGCCTTTCTATCAATAGACTTCTAATGAGAGGGGTGTGGTGTCATATATGGATGAGAATGAGCAGAGAGAGAGAAAGAGAGAGCTTGACCCTTTCCTGACCCCTCACCCAATTTGCTTTTTGTCTTTCAAGACTCTTATAAAGGTCTACTGAGGCTCGGTGCCTGTGGCTCAAGTAGCTAAGGCGCCAGCCACATACACCTAAGGTGGCAGGTTCGAATCCAGCCAGGGCCCACCAAAAAACAATGACAGCTACAAGCCAAAAAATAGCCGGGCATTGTGGCGGGCACCTGTGGTCCCAGCTACTTGGGAGGCTGAAGCAGGAGACTCGCTTGAGCCCAGGAGTTGGAGGTTGCTGTGAACTGTGATGCCACAGCACTCTACCCAGGGGGATAGCTTGAGGCTCTGTCTCAAAAACAAACAAAAGGTCTACTGAGAAGGAAGCGTGATAACAAAGTCAAATCGAATGCCTGCTATGTGCAAGGCACTAGGCTGGACAGAACAGTACTAAGGTGAGCCATAGCCTGGCCAGATAATTCTGACCACAGGAAAGTAACTTCTGGGAGAAAAGTGCAACCAAGGGGCATCAGGGGCTGGAAGCAGAGCGAGAGAGGGAGGGCCTGCAAAAGGAAAAAGCAGCATTCTTCTCTGGCCCATAAAGTCCAGATGTGGCTTCCACAATCAGCAACAGGGAGGAAGGCAGCATCCCAGTCACAGGGGACAACGTGAGCATGAGCAAGGAGGCAGGATGCATAGGCATGTCTCAGGGCCAAGGACACTAGCATTGGGGGGTGTGGCTGGGGCAAGGGCAGGGGGCTTAAGTAGGAGACCTTGCCACAGTCCAGGTCAGAGAGGACCAGTGCCAGGGAGATCTGAAAGGAGGGAACAGATACTAGACTAGCCCTGGGAAATGTGGGGAAGGGGACAGTAGAAAGAAGGGAGTAGAAAAAGAACAGAGAGGAGTCAAAAGTCACTAGGATTTTAACATGCAGAAGGATAAGAGGAATGATTAGAACTAATTATTCAAAAACTATAGGGGGAAAGAATGGTATGGCTTACCAATGTGCTCAGTAATACACAGTAATACATAATTCCATCTGTATTCAGTAAACGCCATCGCCATCTTCCCAGGGGCTGCAGCAAAAACCTAGGAGTCATCCTCAAACTCTCTCTGTTTCTGTGCAACTCTTCAGTAAGCCCCATCTGCCCTCCCAGAGGCCATCTACATCCTTCCCCTACACTACTCCCCGTTTCTCTGCCTAAAAGGCTCTGTCCCCAGATCTTTTTTTTTGTCCCCAGATCTTTCTGAGCTCAACTATCACCTCCTCCAAGAAGCCTTCTGTGACCATCAGCCCCCTTCCCAGTCACCCTATTTTATTGTCTGCGTACCATGTCACTATCTGTTTGTGTGTTTTTTTTATTTTATTTTATTTTGGAGACAGAGTCTCACTTTGTCACCCCTGATAGGGTGCAGTGGCATCATAGCTCACAGCAAGCTCAAACTCTTGGGCTCAAACAATTCTCTTGCTTCAGCCTCCCAAGTAGCTGGGACTACAGGCACGCGCCACAACGCCCAGCTATTTTCAGAGACGAGGTCTCACTCTGGCTCAGGCTAGTCTAGAACCTGTGAGCTCAGGCAATCTACCCACCTCGGCCTCCCAGAGATGTTTATGTATTTGCTGATGCCTATCTCAACACCTGCCTCCCGCTTTTCTGGTTTGTTCATAGCTATGTCCCCAACCACTCAACCCTTGAAACAGTGCCAAGCACACAGTAGGCCAAACTGCCCATGATGCTGTTTTAGAAGTACAGTACACCGCTACCAATCCTCCACCCCCTGGCACTGTGTTAATGAGCGCATGGTATTCAGCTGCAGTGGCTCTGGAGCCCGGTGAGTGCTCGAATTCCATACAGAGATAAGGCGGCCACACGTAGAGAAAGGAGGAAGACAGCACAGCATACAGACACCTCTCTACAGGCTGAATGAACATCTGAGGGGGTGTGCAGTGCCCGGACTGATGCAATTTCCTTAACACCAACTGCTGAGGAACAGAATAGTTACTTCCTCCTCCTCCAGACAGCCGCCAGCAGACGGGACGCAGAGGGGCGCCTTCCCCACCGCCCGCGGGCCTCCAGCCGTCAGTGACCCGGGCTGGGAGAGGGGCAGGACCCTGAGCCCACGCCCCTAGCCCTCCTGCAGCTCACCCATCTCCCCAGCTTTCTGCCCTGGGTCCCCGCCCTGCCCCGGGGCAGCACTGGCAAGCGCGTCTCAGTTCCCAGCGCCCAGCGCACTCGCGGGTCCCCGGCTCCCGCAGACGGCGCAAACACAGCCAGACCAGAAACCGAGGCCAGTCCGCACGGACACAGCCACGGTAGGCTCGGCAGCCGCGTCTCCGCCTGCCTGCTCGGGGTTATTTCTGCTAGTCATTCACAAGAGTTTCTAAAATTAATAAGAAACGACAAGTATGTTAAGTCCATACATGGAAGCGTTCCCGGACAGTGAGGAAGGGCGAGGCGCTCCCCGAGACACGGCCGGGCCCGCGCTCCTGCGTCTGGGCCGCGTCCCGCCGCCCGGAGCCCCCCAGGACAGGGCGTCGCTGTATCAGCCCGGGACCTCAGGGCCCGGCCAGCGTCTGCTCCGCCAGGGACCGCCGCCGTGCGACCCAGGGGGCGCCTCCCCTCCGCCTACCACCGATTCCTGGAGCGCCACCCCCCACCGGCCCCTCCCAGAAGTTGCCGAGACCCCCGCCACGCCCGCTCACTCACTCATGCTGGGCTGCCAGGTGGTTGAAGACGTAGGTGACGGGGATGGCCGAGAGGGACAGCACGAAGACCCCTGTGGCCGCGGAGGCACTCATCGCGCCCGCCGCGCCGCTCGCCCTTCACCGCATCCCGCCCGTGCGCCCCGCCCTGCCACGGCTTCCGGCAGCGCCCGCGCCCCTCGGCGTTGGCCCCGCGCGCCCCGCCCCCCGCTCCGCGCCCCCCGCGGCGTCCCCTTGCGGCAGCCGGCCCGCAGCCGTCTGGGTGCGCGGGGCCTTGGTGCGGTCCCTGGCCGCACTGCTGCCAGGGCTGCCAGGGTTTGGCTTGCGCTGGCCCGCGGTGCCGAGGGACGGGCCCGGGTCGCCGGGCCAAGGCACAGCCGCGAAGGTGGTCATCGACGAGCTGGAGAGGCGCTGGCTGAGCAACGGGCCAGGGGAGGGTGGAGTCTGACCCGAGGCCAGAGAGGGAAGGGCGCACGACACCGTCCACCGGAGAGCCCGGGACCGACCCAGAAATGGGAGGGGACAAATGAACCTCCGAACCTCTCCTCTGAACGGCATCTGCGGGTCCTAGCACAGCTCCCGCGGCGAGAAGGCTTCCGGGTTTTAAAACCTGGCTGTCCACTGGCTCTCGGGCTGTCGACCTTGGTCGAGTTACTTAACCGCCTAACCTCTCTTTGTCTTCTCTGAGGACGACCCACTTAACAGAGCGACATGGGATTGACTGAGTCAGTGCGCATGAGACGCTGTGTTCTGTCTGCACTGCTCCCTGGGCTGCTGTCTCCTGCAACTCCTTCCTTTCTACTTGTTTGGTTGTGGTTTTTTGTTTGTTTCTTTGTTTTGTTTTTAATTGAAACTGATACTCAGAGAATGCAAAGGATGGGTGGAGGGAGGGTGATTGGTGGGACCACGCCTATGGTTCATCTTACAAGGGTACCTGCGAATCTTTCTAAATGTAGAGTATAAATGTCTTAACACAATAACTAAGAAAATGACATGAAGGTCATGTTGTCCAGTTTGATGAAAGTATTTCAGATTGTGTATAGAACCAGCACACTGTACCCCATGACTGCATTAATGTACACAGCTAAAAAAAAAAAAAAAAAAAGCACTTTCTATTCCAGGAAGCGATCCTGGAGACCAGGCGTGTGTGCAAAGACTGCCTCCCCTGGGAATATGGCCATGGCCGAATGATGTTAGCCTGGTGTTGTGCTGACCGCTTGAGTTGGCTTTAGGGCAGAGGTGTCATAAAGCCCCTGGGGTTGAGCCTGAGTGGGTCCACTGGTGGGGGAAGAGAATGAAAGTAAGTTCCAGACCAAGACCAGCTCCCCTACTGCGGCAATTCCTGGCAGGTATTTAGTGTCCTTACAACTGCCAGGGAACTTAAGAGACCATTTGGCTCATTTTAGACATGAGGAAAATGAGCCTCAAGGAGGCTATGACCTGCTCTAGAGCCCTCATCTTTTCAGACACCAGAGCTCTTAATCCCCTCTCCTAACTCTTCTTCCAGGCGTCTCCAACTCTGAGTGCATAATAATATGTTGACCCAACCTATGAAATAGCCAGAGTTTCTCTAAGTGGTGTCCTCACCTGTAACCTGCACATCACTATCACCCCTAACCTAACCCCACCACTCTCCTCAGACTCCTGCCTGCTCCCTAACCACACCTCCTCCAGCACCCTTTCCATCCTCCCGGCCAGTCCACCAGGCCAGCCCCACTCCCATGGCCACCCAGCCCCACCCCCGTGGCCACCCAGCCCCACCCCCGTGGCCACCCAACTCTGCTGCACCCATCTTGCCTTATGTCTTACACCTGAACCCCTATGGCTGCTGTGGATACTTCCCTACACCTAGACATGTCTCGAGTGTCTTCTAGTGTCTTCAGAAACCTGTTCCCTGGACCTGAGTTCCCTCTTCATTTACCATCTTCTCTCTCTCTTTTCCCAGCTGCATTTGCTTTTAATGACCACATCTTTGCTAATAGATCCCAAGTGGTCGTTCCTGGCACTGACTTGCATGGGCATACCCCTGGCACCGCACACTCCACGTGGCCAGTGAATTCCTCATTTTGCCTAGAGACATGCTCCTGCTTCATCTCAGCGGGTGGCACTACCATTCACCCACTCACCCCAGCCATAAACCTGGGAGTCCCTATCAGTTCTGCTCTCTCCAGATTCCTCCATTATGCAGTTCTACCAGTGCTACTTTTCCAAGTATCACTCAAGTCCCTTTGCTCCTCCCCTCCCATACCACCTGGTAGTTGTGGTCTGTATCACCTCTCCTCTGGGCTATGTCCTGGTCATCTCCCTCCGGGCTGTCCCCTGACCTGACCACCCTCTTGAGCTTCGCCAGCCCTCTCTATCAAGCACCTGGCCTTACTTTCTTCACAGTGCTTTTACTATCTAAAATTATTCTGCTTACACTTTCACTTTCTTACCTATGTCACTCCTCCATGATGGAAGCTCCTTGAGGTCAGGAACCTTATCTTCATTACTCAGTGCTCCATTGCCATCATCTAGATCACCGGTTATTTTCGTGGTTGGGGGTCACCACAATATGAGGAACTGTATTAAAGGGTCGCGGCATTAGGTAAGTTAGAACCACTGATCTAGATGAATACCTCGTACATAGTAAGTAGGTTCTTAAAAAATAGTTGTTCAGGGAATGAGTGCTCGGGATCATCACTGTCCAACAGAAACATGATGTGCGCCACAGAAGTGAGCTACATGGGCTTGGCGCCTATAGCTCAAGCGACTAAGGTGCCAGCCACATACACAAGAGCTGGCAGGTTTGAATCCAGCCCAGGCCTGCCAAAACAACAATGACAACTACAACCAAAAAATAGCCAGGTGTTGTGGCGTGTGCCTGTAGTCCCAGCTACTTGGGAGGTTGAGGCAAGAGAATCACTTAAGCCCAAGAGTTTGAGGTTGCTGTGAGCTGTCATGTCACTGTATTCGACCCAGGGCAACAGCTTGAGACACTGTCTCAAAAAACAAATAAAAAATGAGCTACATAGACAATTTTAAATTTTCTTGTAGCCTCAATAAAAAGATAAAAAGAAACAACTTAAATTAATTTTAATAATATTTAGTCCAGTACATCCAAAAGATAATCATTTTGAAGAGACTTTACTCAGAAGAGACTTTCCATTCTTTTCTCCATTCTAAGTTTTCAGAATCCTTTGCGTGTTTGACACAGCACATCTCAGTTCAGACTAGTCACAAGTTCAAATGCTCAGCAGTCACACGTGGCTAGTGGCTTCTGTCTCTGACATCATAGCTCTAAACTTACTCCTCCTACCTTACTGACCCAGCTTCAGTGGTACTGTCTACTACTGTTAAGATAGGGATGATACTTAAATCACTAGTCAATTTATTTAATCAACAAACATCCTTAGAGCGTCTGCCATGTTTCCAGCATTGTTCTGAAAAGGGGGAAACAAATATGAATTACAAATTGCCTGAGAAAACCACAGTCTTATGTGAGAGAAAAATAGGTAGCAATTACCACATAATGCAATAAAAGACACACATATAAATTGCCACAGGAACCAGCCAGTTTGGTCTAGAGAAACCGAGAAAAACTTCAGAGGAAAGTGAGCCTTTAGGCTAGCCTTGAAGAACAACTAGAGCTGTGCTTTGCAACCTTTCTATCTCATGGTACACTTGAACCTACAGTTAAACTTCCACAGCACACTTAAATTATGTTGATCAAAAAAAGAATTAAAAAAAGAATATACTTACTGTGGTTTGAACTTCTTTTGAAAATAATTTAATTAATTATTTAAAATTTTTTGCAGCACACTGGTTGAAAATTACTGAACTAGAAGCTGGCTAAGCAGACAAGGAAGAGGTGGAATGTTCTAGGCAGGAATTTGTGAGAGAACACGTCACTCTATGAACTACAAAGTGTTTGCTCTGGTTGGAAATACAGCCTGTGCCTGAGTGGGGCTGGCAGGAGGCGAAGATGGAAAGTGGTGGAGGCTCAGTCTCACAGAATCTCAAGTGCAGGGAGCCATTTATGATTTTTAAGTGGGAGGAGAAGTTGACTTGATCAGAGTAGCATCTTTGAACCTGGTTTACAAGAAATAGAGAAAGAAGGCAGGAAGAACAATTAGGAGGCTGCCTCAGTTGTCTTGGCAAGAGATGATGGTACCTGAACCAAAGAGATGGCAAGGAGAAGGAAGAGGAGGAGAAAAGATGTGAAAGATGGGGTCAGGAATTGGAGATGGTTGGGAGAAGGCACTGGATATGAGTTTGGTTGGAAACATGTTGGGTTTTCAGCACCCATGGGGCTCCCAGGAGAAGCTATCCCAAAGGCAATTGAGGACATTAGTCTGTGACACCAAGAGAAGCACAGGCTACAGATATTTGGGGGTTATCCACATAGCAATGGGGCTTAAAATAAAGAAAATGAATGTCACATGAAGAAGGTAGTTTCAATGGCCAGAAGCCACTCGAGAGAAGTTGGTGAGCCTTGTCCCCAGCAAAATAGCCTTGGGCATATGAACTCAGAGGCAGAAACATCCAACCTCTCAGTGCTGAAGCTGCTCCCTCAGAGCCTGCAAGGGATCCCAGGGACATGGCAGAGCTATGAGGTATTGGAGATTGTGTGATTTATTTTGAAAACAGTTTCTCTTAATGCTGAAAATATGAGACCTTCCCTGGCTTTGGGGGTTGATCCTAAACCCGGCACACATAATCCCATTTTGCAGCAGTATGCTGTGGATTAAACAGTAATTCCATTGACATTATCTCTTGTAATCCTTACAATACTCTGAGAATATAGAACCATTTATGAATGAAGAAACTGGGGCTCAAACAAGTTAGATGACTTATCCATGTATGGAGAGCTAGGAAGACAAAGGGCAAACTGAGCTCGTGTCCTTTGTCTTTACATTGCTATATTCACGATGTCACTGCCAAACAGCAGCAAAGGACCATGCCAGGCACCTTAGAAAACAGTAAATGGACACAACCCATTTGACGCTTTGCTCAGGAGGCTAAGGTCTGGAGTTTTGCACTGAGAAGACCAGAACTTACTAAGTTTGAAAAAGGGTGGAATATGTCTTTTAAAAAAGACATTCAGGCAATAAAATTGTTTTTAGATTTTTGTTTGCTGGGTTTTTTAGGAACATCAAACTTGCAAGCCCTGAAGGCTCATTTTGTAGCTGTGACAAAGTGTCAGATCTGACTCCAGGCCTCCTAGGAGCAAAAACGGGCTGTACACCCCCTGTT